GCCTACCATTAAGCATTACATAATCTACTTGACCTTTAAGGCTGAGTTCAGGCATCACCTCCTCCAGGAAGCCTGCCCTGCACTCGCTATTTTGGGATGAATGGCATCTTTTTGCTGCCACCTAGCAGATAGTTTACTGCAATGATCTCAGGGGTTTCCATTCTCACTGGACTGGGAATAGTAATTGTCTCTTTGATTTCTAGTGCACAGAGTCTAGTCCATACCAACTATTCAACAAATGTTTGGAGACTTGAATGAATGTCCTTACGCATATCGACAGTCATATCCACTGTCACCCCACTACCTTGAACAGCCTTGGCTAAAGACTCCTCTCATCCCAGCTCTGGTTTCTTCCTCCTCATCCAGGGTCTCCACCCTGTCATCTCGTTTGCTGCCACCTGGGGCCAGCGGGCTGACCTGAGCTGACCTGCACTTCCTGGTGACTCTGGATGGTTTCCTCTTTCCATCATCAACCCCCCTTGCCTTCTGTCACATTCTCAGTCAGGGGGTTGTTCTTTGCTGGCTGAAAAAGGGGAATCAGAGAAGAGAATCCATATTAATGGGGGTTAATTTTACCTCTTCCAACAGTGTTTTCACATTAGCAGCAATGTTTCCTGGATAGTGTCTTCCACCCTCTGCTGCTTGAGCTGGGCACAGGAGCTCCCTGGTCATGCAGAGGTGTGCAAACGTTGCGTGCCTTCGGTCGTGGAGCAATGCACAACTTGAAGGTCTGGGAAAGTAAGTCCATATGAAGACAAAGGAGGATATCTTAGGGGTAGAATATTGAGTTGTCATAAAATTACAAAGTTAGAATGAGACCTTAAAGGCCCCAGGTCCCAGAGGGTACAAGTGTATTCCCACTGGTGTTCCGATGAGTTTGGAGGAAAGATTTCAGAAGCACTAATGGTGCTCACTTTGGGCTACAGACTGGGCCTTCCAATCATTTGTCGAAGACTGGTACCCACATGTTCAGGACAGGCAGGGCTGGTGCCGCGGGCAGTTCTCAGGGAATCCAGGTGAGCGCAGCAGGTCCTTACGTAAGTGTGTCGTTCCCAGGTCCACTGTTCGCCCCACCAGACGGCATCTCCCATCTGGCCATCCATGCGTCCAGCATCTGCCATCGACTCAACACTGCCCGAGGAGCGGGGGTGGGGGGTGGTGGGGGGGTGGGGGTAAGTGAAAAGGTTAGGCAGTTTGTTCTCAAGGAGCTCACAATCTGGCAGGGAAAATGCATGAAAAGGAGAGTTGTACTATTAAACAAATGATTAGAAGAGTAGTAAGTGTTCTGGAAAAAAAGCACAGTGACTCGGATGTTGGGGGAGTGGTCGTTCGTCACTGATCACACACTCTCCTTAGAAGAGTCCCGGCCACACTGGAATACCGTGTATTTTTATTTTCAGTTCTTAAAATTAATTTTGAGAAGAGAGCTGTATCCTCCATCCCCTGCACCCAAGGAATTCTGGATATTTTGCATGTTTGAAAAGAATGAGGTACAATTTAGAAACTTATTATGAAAAATTTCTGTGAGTGTAGGTATAGATAAATTATGAAGGTTCATTTGATTTTTCAAAGATATTTTAAATTATTTTCTTCTCTGTAGCTGTAATCTATTTTTTTAGAATTAAATAAACCATAATATTGGTACATGCTTTACTAAATCTGTATCCCACAATATCATTTTTAGAATGAAAACTTGAGCTTCCCCCCCCCCCACCAATAAAACTATGTCCTCCCTCACTCTCTTCTTTTTAGCAAATATTTTGGAAAGCCTAATCGTACTCCAACAGTGTAATATATAGTGGTAAGAAAGCCAACAAAAGTCATCTAAACCTATTAAAATACCTTCCAGGGACAAACTGACCAAACACCATTTTATCCAATCCAACTTGTCAGGAAATGCCTCTTCTGTCAAGCAAGGTTCCCTTGTCCTGAGCCATCACAAAAGAACAGATGTCATCCCTCACAGAGCAGCCTTCTGCGTAATTCTCCTCTGCACACTGCCAAAAACCTTACCTTCTTTCGAGACTCATGAAGGAACCCTTCCAATTAATACGATATACATTCTTAAGGTCCCATAGGAAATTTCAGATAAAGTTTTGTAGCTCCAGTGCTACTAGAAAAATTCTGTGGTGCCAAGACTTAGCCACAGGAGGATTCCAGTCTTTCTCAAGGTGAGTAAACACCCTCTGGCGCTTGGCAGGAGGCCTTCAGTAGTATGGTCGTATTTGCGGGATTATGAATACCCTAACTTCTCTCCTGGAACTGCCTGGTTCTCTACACACTTTTCTTTGCCATGACCAACACAGAGCTGAACGCATCCTTCACTTAGGACTACACCCTGGCTCCCTCCTGCACGGGAGGCCCTGCAGCTACACTGGCTCTCTGGCCCTCCTGGTCGGGCGGTGCACCCTGAGGCCACGTGAGGAGCGGGGAGCCACAGTGGGTATGGCCGAACAGAAACTGTTGTGTCACATTTACAATGCCTGAGCTTTGTCAAGTTGCTTCTCCAGTGGGTTTATTTAAGAAAGTACAAAGAAAGTTTATTAGAAAGTCTCCCTAAGCAGCACAGCGATGCCAGATGCCAGCTCTCCTAAGGGAACAGAACAAGTACTTACTCTTGATCAGGTTACCAAAGACAAAGAATATTTCACCATCACTTACCTTTCAAGGTACTTTACTTTTCTGTCTTAACAAGAGGACTTTCTCATCAGAGATTTCAACTTCCTCACCCCAAACTTCCTCAACTTGTGAGGAGGGAGAGAGAGGCTTCTTGGGAGGTGCTGGGAGTCCCCGGGGAGGGGGCGGGGACTTGTTTCATTGCCCGGACTATTCTACCTTAGGGATAGCTTTTGACAGCATGTTAGCTTCTTGGAAGAAAACACCCGTAATGCCTTGGATTTCTCCGTATTTTATAGCTACCTCTCCTTTTATTCTGCAGCCCTACTCTGTGTTTCAGAACAGCGCCAGCGTGCTGCACTGGGGAAGAGTGCCCTCGAGTTAACCTAAGTCTTTCATTTGCTTCGCAGGAGAGAATCCACAATGAACACAACTGATGAATTAAAGGCTATGTTTTTGTTTAAAGAGACTGTTTTTTCTTAAAGAATCTCTGTTTAGAACAGGTTGTTATGACTTCTTTAGATTTTTTTGAATGACCAAGTCAAAAAGGTAAAAATCCTCCAGAGAATATTTGCAAATTATCCAAACTGGTGGGATGTGAAGATTAAACACAAAGTTGTCTTTGCAAATATCTAGAACGTGTTAATAAATTTCCCAGTGATACTAACTGTATTAATACCAAAAACAAAACCATGAAGACTTGATTAACCAGGAAATCCTGTTTTACTAAGAAAAAAATGTTGAAAAACCTTTCTAAAGTGCAAAGATGATTTCAGCAAGAAAACTGCCCTCATTGCACGATTCCAGATGACACTGGTGATCTTAGAATCACAGGATCTTAGATCTGTAGGAACCTACAGCAAATCCCATGCAGCTCCCTTATTTCACAGACAAACCCTGAAAGTGAGAGATGCCAGGTGGCTGTTCAAGGTCGTGCAGCTGAGTGAGTGCAAAGCCAGGCCGGGACAGTTAGCCCAGTCTACCCCTGCTAGCGCACTAGGCTGGCTGTCTCCCCGCTTAGCAACTGCATTACAGAGGTGGAGGGACACTGGGAAATATATACCTACTGACTCCAGGACAAGAAAGATTCTCCTGTAATGTCTCATTCTCCTTGTAATTGTCTCTTTCTCCTACAAGTGGGGCACAGGAAATTCCAGTGAGAGAAAATGTCTGATAAATTAAAATGTTAAGGTATGCCTAGTCATACTATCACATTCCTCTGAATTAGCTAGACAATAGCCTAGCCTTTCCCAAGAAGAAAAGAAAAAACACTCCAGGTGTCCCCAATGTCCCTGTCACTTGGAAATCATTGCACAATGGTTAAATTCCCCAGGTGACTCCTTACCACCTGGTGTGGAACAGATATGTCACTACCAGAGTACCTTCCATGTTTAAACAAATGAACAAAAAAAATTCAAATGTAAAATGTTCTCTCTTTAATTACTAAATTAAGAAAGTTAAACAATTTAAAAATGTAAACTCACAAATAAATCATAACAAAAAAATGTAATTAAGACTTCAGAGTTGCTACTCAGTATTAAAAACTCAATAGAAATAGGCTTTTTGATTTGTTGTTAAACATGTAATTCAAGGTTGGTACAAACAGCAACTAAAAATGAAATACTTTTTTTTTTCTTTTTTTTGTGCATCCCCATGAAATGTCAAGTAGTGCATAGTTATTCCACTGGAGAATTCTTGGACATATAGAAAGTCATTTCATTAGCAGTACAGGACATTTAAAACACTTATTTTACAATGGGAAATGTACAACCCCCACCCTCATCTTCCCCGTAAGTTTTAGTTGCATGAGAAAGTTTAGCAGGTTGCCATGACTACAATGCTATGGGTTTTAGACCATTTAAATGTAGTTACAAGATTTATTAAATAAAAAAAGTTTGAAACATTTCAGCATTCATATTTTTATACAAGAAGTTTGTATGGTATCCATCTTCCAGTTCCCCTGGTAGTATTGGCCGTTTGCTGGCTTAAGTATGCTCACTTTTAAGTTTCAAGAACAAATCGCAGTAGGTGGAAACAAATACTGGAAACAGAACTTGTGAATTCAGTTCGGGGGCTGCTGAAAACAGTCAATGTAACAGCCATCTACAGGTACAGACATGAACCAAAAAGGTGCAATCCAAATTAAAAAAGAAAAATCATGCTTTGAAAAAGCCAAAAATGAGGCCACTGGTTTCTCAGAATAATACCAGTGCTTTTATGCTGATTTTCTAGTAAAATCCTCGCTCTGGGTCCTGAAGCTCTGTGGCCTAGGTTGGCCATGGTCTCCACATTAGCACCCACATGGTGTATGTACAGGGACATATATATTATATGTATTCATATTTATAAAAAAGAAAAAAAACCCAAACACCTGTCCTGATCGGTTTTTGTTAAAACATGAAAAAAAATTTTATTGTTTTAGACAAAGAGGCCACTTTTGGAAAATAATACTTTTTTTTTTTTTTAGTTGAATCAGGTAAAGACAGAGTTAAAATCACATAGGATTTGCATTTTTAAAAAAGGAAAGCATTAGGATTGTTGGCACTGGAGTAACTATTTACACTGAACAGAGGTTTGGCCTTTTACATAACATCGATACAATGCATTTTCCAAAGTCTGAGAAATAACAAGGTTCTGTCTCGTATGCTTCACAGAGGAGGTTCGGATTTGGGGACAAGTGAGGGCCATGGAAGTTCGTCAGCTTCAGAGTCACATGCAATCTGATCCTGGACTGTTCTCGCTGCCCCGGAGCAGCAGGCTACAGAATTGAAAGCTAATGGGGAGGGGGCGGAGGCCTCTGGGACAAGGCCTCTCTCTGCTGACCCGTGTCTTACAGGTTTTCGCCAGGCTGATACTGGGGCTCTGTGGCTGTGAAGTAGTCTTCCAGGAAGCCCTGTAAGTACTCGAAAGTGGGCCGTTCTTCCGGGTCCTTTTTCCAGCAGTGGATCATGAGCTCGTGCAGAGAGATGGGGCAGTCCTGCGGACAGGGCATCCGGTAGCCGCGCTCCACCTGCTCCAGCACCTCCCGGTTGTTCATGCCTGCAAAGACAGGGGCGGTGAGAGTGGGCGCCGAGCCCTGCAGCTCCTCTTTCTTCTCTTTGGAGCCTGCACATTAAACCATGTTGAGGGACCCAGGGTGGAACCCTGCCTTTAATAGGACACCACACCACTCAGAAATAAAAAAGGAACGCACTCCTGACACACACAAAAACCCAGATGAGGCATCTCAAAAGCGTTGTAAGTGAAAGAAGCCAGACACAAAAGGTAACATACCGTCTGATCTCATTTATATGAAATTCTAGAATAGGCAAAAACTACAGTGATAGAAAGCAGATCAATGGTTGCCAGGGGAGAGGGGGAGGGGAACTCCTGCTGAGGGGCTGCAGGGAGCGCTGAAGGGTGATGGGAATGTTCTCTATCAGCGGCCAGCACACCCGTCCTGCAAAGGCCAGGCAGTAAATATTTTGGGCTTCATGGGCTGCACGCAATCTCTCTTGCATATTCTTTTTGTTTTCTAACTCTTTAGAAACCTACAAAAAAACAGGGTGGAGCTAGATTTGGTCCACAGGCAGTACTCTGTCCTATATCCTGTATGTGGTGGAGTGACTGCTTATGTTTGTCAAAACTCATTGTGTTCTTAAAATTGCTGAATTCTATTGTATGTAAATTACGCTTCAATCAAGATGACAAATATGAATGAAGCAGACAAAGAAAATCCATGGGATGAAAAACACACTGTTCGTTGGATACAGCATCTACCAGCTCCATTTATGAACTTCATAAAATTAGCTTTCCTCCTGCCTTGGCAAGCTCTCGGTGCCCTGCTGTCCAAGATCTGCCATCATGCCACTGTGGCTGGGCACTGTCTGGCCCAGTGACCCCGAGGCACAGTCACTCTAATGGGGGGACAGGGCGTCCCCAGGGCCTGTGTTTACTGATGACCTTGGACAGGCCATCTATCATCTGAGACCTCTGTGACCCTGTGAGGCAGCTGCCTCAGGCTGAAACATCAGGCCGTCCGGCACTAACAGGAGGTGCTCTGAGAGACAGCTAACTCTTCGGAGAATGCAGCCTCCCCACATGTGGGCCTTTCTGACAGAACAGGAAACACACTTGGGGCGAGGTGCATGTCCTGACCCTGTTCCCAGTCACCGCCAGGCACTATTCTCTGGTTTTCCTTCCCTTTTGCGCCGCAGCACGTTCTGCCATCGCTTGCCAAGCTCTTGTATGTTTTTGCTGCTCCTTGGCGCTGAACCTGTTATCTGGACGCCCCCCTGTGACTTCTGACCCGGTTAGTTTACAAAAGCAAGAACCTAGTTTTAAGCCACACAGAAACCTAGATTTCTTTCCCTGTCTCTCAGGGGCATAACCGGCAGGACGGAGCATATGCATGTAGCAGCTCCCATTAAGTTTGGAGGAGGTGGTGACCTCAGCTAGAACCCTGTAAGCCTGTTCAGAGGAGCTGGGCCCAGAGCATGGCCCTGTCTCCCTGGGTAGGGGACACCCACACTTTGGGATCTGTTGCCAATTCTCTTTGTTTTGTTGTTACTTTTGGAGCTGGGTTTATCTTGGGTCCTGTGGCTGTCAACCATGGCCCTGTCAGTCACATGCTTGTGAAAATCCTCTTAGGATGCTTTCTTATTCTCTGCCACTCTAATTTCTTGAGGCGAAAAGGTCCATATATTATTCCCACTCTTTTGACCTAGGCCTTCCCTCTCATTTCGGGATGATCCTTATTTTAGTGAGAGAGGTTCGGCAAATGAGTCTGGGTCCCCTGCCCCCACACCATGCATGACTTTACAGGTGCCCTCTTCAGCTGGATGTTTGGTCAGCTCTGCGGCTAATTAGCTTAATTAGCTCCAACTGCTGAACACTCATTTTGAAAATTCGGGATGGGGCGGGGAGCTGGAGCAAGGGCAGGAACCTGGCGCTGTCCGGAGAACGTCCTGTAGCGCTCTGCACAAACAGGGCAAGGGACGGCGCCAGCATTTCCGTATCCACAGTCCACAAAGCCCGCAAGCTCTGGAAACCAAAAGTTCTGGTTACTAACTCACTTGGCAGCAAAACTGATCTGAACTGACCTCATTCGGACATAAAACCTGACCCAGTGTGTGGCCATTTACTGTTTCTATTTATTCATACATATTGCTGCAGAAGGAAGAATGCATCTGAACACAGAGTGCCGCTCCAGACTTCCCTAGGGTGTTATATAATGCATGGTCTACACACTGTATGGTCCTAAAAAAAGGAGTCTCATTCTGGAAGCACATCCGGTCCTCAGGGTTTTGGCTGGGAAGTCCTGGCAGAAGTGACAGCAGCCACCGCACTCCGGCCAGCCCAGAAAGGTTAGGAAGGGAGCGTAATCACATATCAGGACTGGCGTTCTCCAAAGTGTTTCCTTGGTTTCATAATATCTCAGAGGCCACATGGCCTGAAGCTGCAGAAATTCGCCACATTCCTGCCCTTGCCAGGGGCCTGCAGGAACGGGAGGACAGACAACAGAAGGTCTGAACCTCAGAAGGTCTGACAGGCCCTTCTGGAGGTTGTTACCGCCCTCCCCCCCAACACCTTCTACGGCTTTATTCTGGCACTGACACTGTCCAAAATGGCACCACAGAGTTTACGTTAATCATTCTCCTGTTGCTCTTGTGGAGCTTCTGTCAGTAAATGTTTCATTTCATTAAACAAAAACTACTCAAATGGAAAGACTTCATGTACTTTTTCAGAACTCTAAACTCAATCTCCAACACAGAAAGTTTGATTGACCACTTGGGTCAAGCCCATTTTTCCAGCGCTCTGGCCAAGCCGAGGGCATGGCAGACAGAACAGCTTGGCCCTCAGCGGCGGCCTGCTTCCTGGGCGGCTGTAGCCAGGGGACGGAGCTGTAACTTGGCAGGACGCTGGCAGCCCCACTCCGTCAGCTCACGGGTGTGCTCCTTCTCGTTCTTTACCTCCTTTCCTTTCTTCTCACGCTTCCTCTGCACAGGCCTCTCAAAGCATGGAGATCATATGTAATGAATTCCATGCAGTGGGCCAAACAGGAACATACTAATGACAGCTTTGCCAGAAAAATGGGGTATAAGACAATGTAGTTGGCTTATAAGGGCAATCTGAACGGGACTAGCTGGTTTCCAACCATCCACAAGCCAGAACCCACAGGCTGACCTGCAAACCTGCCATCACAGTTAAGAGATGCCCAACTTAGCAAGGCATAGCCTAGTTTTTGTTTCACGAACAACAGTCAGTTTAAATGGATTGTGTTCATATTAAAAAACAGTATGAGAATACAGCTATAAGAACTTTGAAAAATCATATTTATTTCAAGAATTTCTTTTTTAGCCAAAATGGATTTTACTCTGTATACTACTATAAAGATGAGCCCATTTCATTTTAGATGTTTTCATATTTTTGTTACAAAGAAAACTGTTATTTCCTCTCTTTTTTTTAGAAATCTTCACCTGAGGACATTTTTTTTCCCCCATTGATTTTTAGAGAGAGAGGAAGGGAGAGAGAGATAAGCATCAATGGAAGACAGAAGCATTGATCTGTTGCCTCCCATACCTGCCCAGACCAGGGATTGAACCTGCAACCTAGATATGAGCCCTGACTGGGAGTGGATGCCCTGAGTGGGAGTTTCAGTTATGGGATGACGCTCTAACTAACTGAGCCACATTGGCAAGGGTTATTTTCCCCTCTTTTAGCCACTTTTCCCAAGACGTTGGCTTTGTCTGTACCTGGGAGGTGAAGGGCAGGGACTGGGAAGGAAATGTACAGGAGCTTGGGTGCCTGGGCAGTGAGCAGAGCCTGGAGGGCCAGAGGCATGCTCGGAGAGGAGGGTCTTTTTATTGTACTTTTCTAAGTGAAGAAGCAGACAGTGAGAGAGGAGGGTGCTTGGGAATGATTTTCTTTTTTTCTTATTTTTAGTGAGAAGAATGCCAGGGGAGAAAGAGAAGACAGAAACTTTGAAATGTGACGTATGGGCCCTCAGCAGTGTGGCTCAGTTAGTTGGGCACTTTCCCGCAAAGCAAAAGGTTGCCGGTTCAATGGCTGGTCAGGGCACAGGCCTGGGTTGTGGGTTCAGTCCCCGTCAGGGTGCATATGGGAGGCAACCGATTGATATTTCTCTCTCACATCAATTTTTATCTCCCTCCTTTCTCTCTCCCTTCCACTTTCTCTAAAAATAAATAAACAAAATCTTAAAAAAAACAAACAAACCAAAAAACAAACCCTCCACGGTGTATGGGCATGTTTTTGGGAAGCACGGTCATCGACAGTCGGGGCCTCCAGGTTTCCCAGTGGGAGCTTCAACAGAGACCATTTCTCAACAGCAGGGCGTTTTCCGCCAGCCCCTGGTGTCAGAGCTCGGGAAGTGCCCTGTTCACAGTGTCCAGGCGTGTCCCGGTTCCCACCTTCCACGTCCGAGAAGGGCGCGAGGCCTTGGCCGAGCAAGTGCAGACACCCTGCCAGTTTTGCTCCGGCGCTGTCCTCCTCTGCCCCCACGGCAGGGCGTGGCCCTCCTGCTCCCCCATTGGAGTCGGTCAGCAAAGCGGCCGTTTCCATGGGTCACTCCCACAGGGCACAGTGCGGCGGCACTCGGTTCACAGACAACCTGTGTTGCCTTCTGTGCCCAGGTTTGCTTTCCAATCCCTCCTCCCCAGATCCTCCATGGCGGCCCCCCGTCACCATGGATTTTCAGATTTCAAACGTGGTCTGATGGCATCATTTCCAGTCGGTCTGCCCAAAACACTGCAGCTGAGATTCTCCAGCCAAGTGGACTGTACTCACTTCCTGCCATTATGATTCTATTATCCATTCTTAAATCATTTTGCTGGCTTCCTCTTGGTTTCCGAAATCAGGTCAAGCTTCCAACTCTCACTTTCCAACCCTTCCCGTGTCTGGTTGCCAACAGTGTCTATTTTCATGGGTGTGTGTTTTCTTTCTCTTCTCCCCTTTTGGTTTTTATCCCCTCTTTCAAACTTTCCTATTCCTCCTCTTTGAGCTACATATTAACTCAGTAGAGTCTCCCCTCTTTTTCTTTT